TCTCAGTCACGCTAGTCTTCACAGTGCGTCATTACAGAAGGCATTAGCAGCAGCCAAGTGCTGTGCTGCAATGGAGCATGTGCGCTCGTCAGGCGTGCATCAGCGTTGAGCCGGTGGGCACTGTACTCCAATCAAGGTGAGGTGAGAGCAAGGACACACGGAGAGGAACAAGAGGACTTCTTTAGCTAGCCCGAGGTTGTTTGCTAGATACCAAGCTGGTTTTGGGTGCTCAGGATTGACTGGTTTTGAATACTCGGACAGAAGAGCAGATGGCCAACCAGATAAACACCAGCTTGGCCAGGATGCCAAACCAGCTCAACCACCTCAGGCTTGTTAGCAAACATACTTAGAGCACGTGGTGTAAAATATTGGGGCATTATGAGAATCAATACTCGCAGAGCATCTCTATAGTTCCTAAACCTTTATCCCGCGTCTGGATTTGCGAGCACATTTGTTATTCCTAATGAGCTAATCGAAGCTTCTGTGCAATTTGCTGAGCGTCGAGCTGATTTTCCTATTAAAAGCTGGCGGTAATAACCAGGGAAATCATTTCACACAGCTTTGAAAGAGTGCAAACACCTTCTTTGTGCATATGACAACATTAAACGTAATTACAAGAGCGGTGAATCCATAAAGTGCATCTTTGCATATTGACTCACTGCATTAGGTGCGCTCGAGGGCTTGAGTGACATCTCGCGTCCTTTCATATTCGCGGCTTCAAATATGTATTAACTTATCACCGCAAAAGCAGGTGAGACTCCAGAAAGATCCATCCTTTTGATGTCATGTTTATTGCGGCGCTAACCAAAGCAACATGCAGCATCTGTGTACTTCAAAAGACGCGCGGCCGGACACACACACACAGATAGAGAAACACACACACAAACACACACTGGAGTTAAATGGGGAAGTTCGCTCGCTGAATTTCTGACTACAGCCTTGGCTTTCTTCCTGCCAGTCTGTGTGTGTGTGTGTGTGTGTTTCTAACAAGCGTTCTGTCACAGTCTTTGCCAGCTTGAGCTACAGCTGTTGATTTGGCTCCTTAAATGAGCCAAAGTCTTTGTACTGTTTGTGTATTTGCGTCTGTTTAAAGACTTGGCCATCGGTGCACGTCTCTCCGAGCGTCTGCCAGACGATCTCCTAAACGTTGGCCTGCGCTTCTTTTCAGATCTGAGATGCTCCTGCACTATTTGAAGATAAAGCGGCCGTCCATTTCATGTGCATCTAACAGAAGTTAACTTCCTGCCGTCGCGAGTGAAGTAGCGTAGGATGGTTTCTTCAGCGAGAGGAGGGACATAAAAGACCAGTCTGGAAACATTTGAACTGCACGTCGGCTCTAATTCTGTCTGACATGTTTTTCTTTTCCCGTGTATCTTCAGCCCTCTTTTCCCCAAGACAGTTAAAACACCGGGGATAACCAACCATCCCTGACAATTAGACGCTGATCGGCCAGGCGGAAAAGTGCAGAGCATCTGTAAGACGTGGAGAGTCATTTGTTTTTGTGTAAACAATCAAACCCGAGGGCATGAATGAAATAAACACACAAGGCTTGAATGGGCAGGGGGATGGGGGATGTTTTCGTGTGTATACACTCTCAGAAATAAAGGTACGAGAGGGCAGTACCTATAGAGTCCACAGTGGTACCTCAAGGTACATATTAGTACCCAAATGCACCTTTGAGGTACCAATATTGACCCTTGAGCGCAGGGGTGCTCAAACTCTGTCCTGGCGGGCGGTGTCCTGCATATTTAGGTTTTAACTCCAGTTCAACACACCCGAACCAGCTAATCAAGCATACTAGAAAGCTCCAGGCAGGTGTGTTGAAGGATGTTGGAGCTAAACTATGCAGGACATCAGCCCTCCAGGATTGAGTTTGGACACCCTCTCAGGGCTCAACAATAAGGACTAGTGTGACAAGAGTGCAGACAGGATTGTTACTGGCCCGATTCATAGCGCCTTGTCACAAAAGTTGCCTGCGACTATTTGTCAATTACAGTCCTAGAATCGAGAAACAGTATGTGCTTTTAAGCTACCTTCTCTGTAATGTTGTAAACACCATATTGCTTTTGGGTTCCTCTTATCTGATTGGATGTTGTGAGCATTTTTGTAACCTTAACTTTTTCTTTTTTTGGTGGGGCCAGTGAAACTATTGGCAGGGCAAGTAAAAATCTGAACCGTTGGCCCAATCGGGCCGGTAGAAGAAATCCTTAGCGTTGAACCCAGCCCCTGTTTTAGCTACGATTATGCACCTTTTGAACCGGTACTGCCCCAGTGACAGCTCTCGAACCTTTATTTCTAGGAGTGTACGGCCCAAATGAGTGGTTTTTACATTACATGAGAACTTTATTCACGAGGCGTCGAGGATGGAATTGCTAGACTGGCCTTTAGGGGTGTAATGATTTATTGTTGTACGATTTATTGCGATGCAAAAATGTCTCAATATGCATGGTGGCGTTATGACGATTTGATTACGATATGACGTCCGTTTTCTCTTATTAGTTGAGCTGTTTGCACGTGAGCTACGTTCCACCTGCTGTCGCACGTGAGTTCAGATTGCAGCAGCAGTAATGTTAGCAGACCAAGATGAGTGAAGTTGAAATAGAGGATGGCCCATCCTCTCAAAATCAGACGTCTGGCAACATTTCGGTTGTACAGTCATTGCTTTAAAACTTAGGCTATGTTTGACCCAGTATGTGTGTCAAAAAGCGGACGAGTCTAAAGTCTTCACAGTGATTCACATACTTTGCACAGCGACATGGATACCTCCTAATGGTGTTGAAAGAGTCACATACTGTATTTATAAGGTACAATTCACCCTAAAATATCATTCTGTCTTCATATAATGATGCATTGGCGGACGCAAAATCACACATGACGTGAGCTGACCGTGAGCTTACTACAGAGGGCGGACTATGACAGATGCGCACGTATGGCAAGCCGTTTTAGCATTTAAACCTTGTTCTGAATATCCATAAATATATTTAGAGATAATTATGACTAGTCATAATTATAATTCCACTAATCAGAATGACAATTAGAGATATCTGCAATTACAATTGTACTAGTATGAAATCAGATTGGAGATATCTGCAAATATATTATGACTAGTCATATTCCTCCATTGACTTCCATTGAAAAATATTTGCAGATATCTCTAAATGAGTTTTGACTAGTCACAATTGTAATTAGAGATATCTCTAAATGAATTTAATTAAATATGAATTAAATACCTGGAAATGTGGATTTTGTTTGCACACACAAAAAACGCAAGTGACCAAGCAAAGCCTTAAGCTCTTACTGTTAAATTCAATTGAATAGAAAGCTTATTTTTTTTGCACCTTTACTTAAATTGTTCCGTAATTTTGTCTCTGTCATTTCAATAATGTCTTTTAAGAAGTTTTTAAATTGTTTTATTTTCCAGGGACAGGCCTGTTTAATTTATTTTCTTAAAGAAGGTTCAGTTTAACAAGTTGAAACAAAAGAAATACATAAAAAATAGTTTACTCGGTAAAATTTGCATTTCAGTTTAATTTTCAATTATTATTCCAAATATCGTGATACATATCGAATCGTGAACATTATATCGTGACACACATCGTATCGTGAGCTGAGTGTATCGTTACACCCCTACTGGCCTTTGAACACTGGCTGAACTCCATAATATTAAAGGACTTAAGATGTCAAAGCTGAATATTGCGATGATTTGTGTCTAGTTTAATGTGCAAAGACAGCAATTGGGAATTGTTTAGATGGTCCAGCATGTCAAATGACTACCTTTAGAAACCTCGACATCTGAAAAAAACAGATTCAAGTAATAGCTTTAGAGTTTTCCACACTGAAAGCCTACAGTAAGTGCTAATAATGCAGATATATGCTGGGTTCACACCAAACTCAAAGCACCGCGTCACTCGCTCTAGTGTCCCCTCGTGAATTGTTTACTTGAGTTCAATTATTTGAGCTTGTGTGGCAGACGCATGTTCTCCGTCATTCACCTGACGATAGTCCCCCTCTATTCACATATCAACTTTGTGTCCTTTACTTGTGCAGATAATTTCACGTTTGGTGTGAACCCAGCATTAAGTAATGCATTTTGTGCCTGTATTTCCATTGGTGGTCAACAAATTTGAAGCATTTTAATAATGTGATGACTTCAGTGTGTACGGACCTTAGCAGAGGACACTGCATTATAGAGGATAGCGTGATATGGGATATGCATGTCCAGCCTATCTTGAGTTTCTTTCCATTCGATATCTTTGTGCTGAATCCCTTTTTATTAGGATTTAAATCTGTTTGTGTGTGTGTGTGTGTAAGTGCAGACGTGTCTCCAGCAGTGACAGAAAGTCCCCATTGACTCTGTGACATCCAGAAATCCCTTTGACATGAGATGAATAGACAGTTTTGGCAGGCTGCCCCACAGTCGTCTTTACAAGACTTCCCCAAAGCACTTTTTCTGCTATGTACAGTATCTACAACTATACTGTTTTCGTATGTGTGTGTGTGTGTTGATCATTGTCTGTGATTCTTGGCAGGCGTACAAGAGATATACAATAAACCTGCCAATTGAGTGCTTCCCAGTTCCAGTTTCTGAGATATTAGATCCCGTTTTTCCTACTTACAGTAGAAATACCGGCAAGTGCTTGTCAGTTGGTCAGTTGTTTTCCTGCTAAACCAATGAACCCTAGAGAAGACACAGCTTGAGTCCACCTTTTATAGAACTTGCCAGAATTGAACACTTCCAACCGGCTCATCCCGGCGGTTTCTAGACTAGTATTTGGCAGGTACCTATACGACAGCATGCAGATTGTTGACAGACATGTGTCCGATGTACAACTGGATCTCTTTTGACAAGCAGTTCCCCCATCAGTTCCAAAAGGGGACGAAAAGCAAGTTTCCAATGGTTAGAGATGTCTTTGGTATTGCCTGACCCTTTGAAAGAGCATCACCTGCTATTTTTTTTCCACCTGTCAGCGCTCAGACATTGTCAATGTTTGTTTTCACAGCAACAGGGAGCGGCCACTACCGTCTACTGCGCTGTGGCTCCAGAGCTGGAGGGTATCGGCGGGATGTACTTCAACAACTGCTTCCGATGCCTGCCCTCCCCGCAAGCCCAAGACCCCGCAGCTGCCCTCAGTCTGTGGGAACTCAGCGAGAGGCTCGTCCAGGAGAGGTCCACCCCTCCTCAGGTGCTCTGACAACACACCAACACCGTCGGATTCAGGCTTAGCATAATCATTGTTTTGAAGGAGCAAGAAACGATTATAAACTGTACAAGGACATTGGCAATCAAGCTCGGAAGTTATCTGGGAATCGGAAGCTAGAACCACATGGGCAGGGTCGTCTACAGCAGATAAAGAGATGCAGAGAGACAGCGAGAGATTCAATTCAATTGCGTTTCTCTCGTTCTCAAAGGCAGGCGTAGCCACTCAATCCCGCGTTAGGGTTTAACTAGGTCTAGATCACTCTATAAATGTCTCCTTAACAAGCAATAACGTTTGAGTTGTCTTTAGAGGGAAAGAAGAGGGGCTCGTCTATATGGTTTAAATGGACACTTGCGGGAAATACAAACACTTGTTAGGAGATCTGTGTCAATCTTTACGTCTGCTGTACAGATAAAAATGTCGAATAAATGTTGTAACCCTACAAAGACATAATGCGGGAAATGTACAATTTGTGAACTATTTACAAATCGTGGTGTCTTCACATTGCTAAGAATAGGCCTGTATTGATATCCTGTACACAATATACATGATGCTCTCCTGAAAGGATGTGAATGCTGTTGTCTTTCTTTACGCCGTCTGGCCTCTTTTTATAAAACCCTGGGCTAATGTGAAGTATGATAAAACAGCATCTGGTACGAGGGCCGTCAGCGGAGATATCTGGAGGAAGATCCTTTTTTTAGTGTCCAGATTGCATCATCAAACATGCAGGGATGTTTCCTAATTTGCTTTTCGTCGCGAGCGAGACGTCTGACTCGAAATCGTGGGTAGAGTCGATAAAAGGGGATTGTGGGTAAGGCTGAGGAACGGCACTCAGGTTGATAAAGGGTTTGTGGTTTCTCTCGATCCTCCATCATCTTCCTCCTCACCGTGGTCTTCTTCAGGGGTTGATTTTGGAGAGGTTGTGCTTTGTGGCAGTCTTGGAGCCGTGGGTCACCCTAAGCCAGAAGCGTTCCAGTGTTGCACTGTCTGTAAAGGAAGACAAAGACACAGCTGATTTAAAATGTTAGCATTGTACACCATACAGTACACACTACGTCAATACCTCCATTCAACTGCACTCGTCAAGACTAAAGACAATCTGAAGATGCCGGACTTTAGCACTGTGTACCGGTGTAGTAACAACCAAACAAAGGCAGAACTTTTTATAGGTAAGATTTCATTTTTGTATGTTATTTTTGTGCTTAACAAGTAACGTTATTGATGATAATACAGTCACTTACTGCACTCACCATCAGGCAAAGTAGCAGCACCTTGCACTAAATTCTAAGCTTATGCTAGTTTTGTTGAATAAAATCAGCAAACAATGTAAATAACGTATGACAAGACGCTGTGGTGCCATAAACTTGTATTATTGTCGACTAAATGAGGTAACGGCTAGTTTTTGAAGTAACTAATAAGGGTGCCTGTTAACATATCATTATAAATATATGTGTATATATGTGTATATAGTAGCGCTGTCAAAATTAACGCGTTAACGCATGCGATTAATTTTAAATAATTAACGCGTTAAAAAAAAATTATAACGCAATTAACGCAGTTCAGGTTTTTTTTACTTCCTGTTGTGGTGGACGTGTGTTCAGCATGTAATAAATGTGGATAAGACCAAGGAAGCACTTTTTGAAGGCAAGTTTCAGTATAAAACAATTAGTTGCATCACAGGTTATCCAGAGTTTCATGCAATTTCGGGTGTTCATGCAACTTTCGATATCTGTTGTTAGTTGATACCGCATGGCGAACAGAAAGAAAATCCTCCGCATTTCGTGACTCGGTGTTCCTTTAAGGTAATAAAATCACTGCTTAGGCTACACGGTAGAATTTTAATAAGAGTATTATCTTAATCATATTAAAATCGTATTGGTGTCTTATGTATGTAAATTTACTCAGAACGTCTGGTGAAGTCGCGAGCTGTCAAAGACAGGGCATTACTCTGCCTTTCAGCATGCGCCCTCCAAGTTTAGCGTGTTTCCTAATTAAACGCAATGAAAGCGTATGCTTCGCGTCGTGTCAGAATCCTCGTGAAATACAGTAATACTTTAGGATGCTTAGTTTAAGCAAATTTGATGAACGTGTTGAATCTGAGGGGAGTCGCTCCAGTATGGAAGGCCGTTGGGGCCAAAATGTCTGCAGCGCAGTAGGGGCGAGAGGGGTGTGCAATGTATTTAACGACCGGATTGCAAGAAATTATCATTAATTTGCGGGCATTTGGGACTCTCTGTGCACTTGCAGGATACTCCTAGCAACTGGATGAATGTAAAGGAGGATTAAGCTAAATTGTTTATACTCTATAATTAATGTTCTCAACTCACAGCAATAAAACTTTACAGTGAGTGCAACAGTTTGTATTCTATAGTTTATTATTATAATTTTTCATTTTCCATATCTGCAATTCCTGTATTTTGGCATTTTTTGCAGTCCACTTAATATCCAACATGGAATCAATGTTTTTTTTATTGGCATTGATTGTTTTGAATTTAAATATTTTTGTCTTGCGTTTACATTAATTTTACATTTAAATAGCCAAAATTACAAGTTTTAGTATTTTAAATGTGATTAATCGCGATTCATTTTTTTAAAAAGGTGCGATTAATTAGTTAATTTTTTTAATCGATTGACAGCACTAGTATATAGCTATGGCTCCAGATGGCCAGTCCTCCATTGCACCTTGGTTTCACATTCATTTCAAAGGAGCACTACCCTGTACTAAAATGGCAGCTCCATTGACGCATTCCTTCCAACAGACAACAACAATGTAGGCAACATCTAATGTAAAAATCTATGATTGTACAGTCATATCAGGAAAAAAAGAAACATTTCAGCATACGCTCTGCTTCCCAAACTGTCTGCATCACATCTTGCATTGTTTCTAGTGCTACAAAAACTGCTAACATCGCCAAGAATCTAACACCAAGGTAAGGGGTTTTTAAATGATTAAATAAAGTGACTAATTGTTTTTATTAATGACTCTAAGGTACATTACAATTATTGATATTGACGAATCATTAAGACCTTTAGCTAAATAAACTACTAATTTGCTGTTTATTATTAGTAAAGGCTGGTTTATACTTCTGCATACCCCTCTCTGCACCTCTCAAAAAATGTAACTACATGTTGCAATGACATTTAGCGCAAGTTCTGTGATTGGTCGGCCTGGTAGCGCTGACCGAGAGCTGTGCAAACCCGTTGGAGTGAGTGTTTACATTTGCCGAGTCCTGTGAAGAACTCCAATCGAAAACTTCTGCGTCAAACATATGGTCCGGCACAGCACTCATGCAGTCGCATAGCCCTCGACATGGAAAAATGTAACAACACATTGCAACGACGCTTAACGCAAGCTCTGTGATTGTGGGCGGGACCAACAGCCACACAAACCCAATGGAGCGAGTGTTTACAAGGGTCGAGTCCTGTAAAGGAGCTCCAATTGGAAACTTCTGCGTCAAGAGCACACGTATGGTCTGGTGCAGCCTTGGCGCAGTCGCATAGCCCTCACCATAGCTGACGCAGACGCTGATGCGCACCTCTCAAAAATGCAACTACACGTCACAAAGACACTCAGCACAAGCTCTGTGATTGGTCGGCTTGGTAGCGCTGACAAGTGTGGGCGGGACTGAAAGCCACGGGAACCAGTTGGAGCGAGTGTTTACAAGTGTCGAGTCCCATGTAGGAGCTCCAATTGAAAACTTCTGCGTCAAGCGCACATGTATGGTCCGGCACAGCCTTCGCACAGTCGCATAGCCCTCGCCATGTCTGACAACAATACGTCACAACGACACGCAGCGCAAGCTCTGTGATTGGTCAGCTTGGTATCGCTGACAAGTGTGGGCAGGACAGAGAGCCGTGCGAACCAATTAGAGGGAGTGTTTACAAGTGTCGAGTCCCATGAAGGAGCTCCAATTGGAAACTTTTGTTTTGAGTTTACCTTATGAATAAAATTGTTGCACGTCTGCTTCCATTTCAGAAACAGCCAATTTTAGCTACTTGTACATTAAGGTAGCATTAAGGTCATGGCGATTACTCGACCCAGAAGTATAAAACAGCCTTAAGCTAATAGCTTAGGGGTAGGATTTGGGATGTAAAACAAGATCAATAAGATCAAATCACGCTATTACCTCCTCACTTATTATCTGGCTATTATTAAATATGAACTGTTTTGGTAGTTAGCATGATCTTATTGTACCTGCCCAATATCTAAACCCAACTTCTAACATGCTGACTATTAATAAGCAACTAATTAGTAGTTAATTAAGCTAATAGTCTTAGTTAATTGCATGAATAGTGACGTACCCTAAAGTGTTACTGAACAATTTGTTGATAAACAACAGCACTAATACATGATGTATAAGCATAAGGTACACGCTGCTTGAAAACATTACGTAATTGACATTTTAAGTGGGGAACAGTACGCATTGTGATGATAAAAATAGCGAGAGTCTTTTACATCCCAGCTCCAGGGGGAAAAAAAAGGACATCTCTAGGGAATTAAACCAAGAAAGTCTCCTCTATCTGGCGAATCAGGGGTGAATGAGTTTCCCAGGAGTGACATGAGCTGAACCCTTTCTCGCTTGTGTGTTTAGCGAGGCTTTGACCATGACCCGGAACAACTCCATAAACAAACCGCCTGTCACACGCATTACTCGCTCCAGCAGAGTAATTGACACATCAAGAAACCAATCATAAAAGAGACCCGTCCCGCCCTTTCACGCTTGTGCAGCCAATGGAATCAATAACCCGGACCAGCAAGACATGGATAAAAGCACCTCTCCAGTGCATCTCTGCAGCAGGAAATCAGGTGGCATTTCAACACACTGAGCTCCTTTAGTGTGCCACAAATGAAACATGCACAAGCTGTACAAAATGTAAGCGTGATCTCTTCCCAACCTGTGAATGAAATGTGCAACCCAGCATGTGATTTGAAGAACGGGGTTGTGTAATGCTCAGGGTACACACTCTCCTGCACAAACAGGGTTGCGTAATGTACATGTTCCCTTCTCGGTGCAGGTGGCCTATCTGTGTTTGCTCCCACACACACACACACACACACACACACACACACACTGTATTAGGAGACCATGATGCAATGCAGAAATTGCACATACACAGATTGGGTGTACGATACTGAAAGATAGACAAGGTGTTCCTAGTATTCCTCGTACATTTAAGCAGTGTGCAAATTATACATTGACTATTGGGTCAGCTTTTTAGTAGTTTGGAATAGATATGCATGCTTCAGTGATCCAAATTCATACATTTAAATCAATTGCGTCTCATTGGTTAATTAAACTTATTTGAGTGTTCAGTGTTTCGAGAGATAATGAGCAGATTCTAACCTATACTGTAATCTCTGAGGGGTTATTTCAACATGTGTTTCTCTATTATATATATATATATATATATATACACACACTCACCGGCCACTTTATTAGGTACACCTGTCCAACTGCTCAATAATGCAATTTTCTAGTCAGCCAATCACATTGCAGCAACTCAACGCATTTAGGCATGGTCATGATCTCCTGCAGTTCAAATCGAGCATCAGAATGGGGAAG